TCTCCAACAAAAGCCAGTTGTTGGTCGTTATCAGTTTTTTTCGATTTTCAATTGATTAACTCACCGGAAATCAATTCCGTCGCCACCATTACACTCACCGGCACTTCCTCTTTAGAAGCCCCAACAACTCGACCTTCAATTGTTCGTCGATCATCATCCCAATTATAGGCTTTTGGGTGAATTAGGAAATTGTTAACCCAGCCCGATGAAGGCCTCGGGTCCCAGTTAAACCGATTTAACCAACTAGATCAAGTTTTAAAACATAAGTGGTGTAGAGTCGTAACGATGCCAAAATCAGAAATTTAATATAAATTTAGGTAGTAAAATAATATTTTAAAAGTCTCTGGGTAAAAAAAATGTCATTAAGCCATTATTTGGGTGGGAAAAAGTCATTAACTCTTATCTTAACACATCATCACAATCATCTTAATATCAATGGATGACCATCTGAATATCAGTGGATTATCTCACCACATCATCATAAAAATAGTCAGATTAGATGGTCATTATTTTAAGCTAGATGTATAAAGTTATTAGAGCTTTCTAAAATTATCCTCCATCATTCTGCTCAATAAGTTTAAAGTTTTGTCCGAGCATAGAAGCGAAGAATTTTTCGTATCTCAGAACAAAATTTTAAGTGCCAGGAGAACAAAATTTAATAGTAGTTTTGTTCAGTTTTTTAAATGAAATCTATTGCTGTTGTGGATTTTGGCGCCTCTAATGTTCACTTATATTGTCAGACTTTGAAAACTCTCTCGAAGACATTTTTAAAGAATTGAGTAGTAATACATTCCTGTTTTCCATTATTATTAACTTGCGATTTGAAGTTTGCATGGCTTGAACTTGGCACTATATTATTCTCCTGCGCTTAAAATTTTTGTTCTAGGATATTTAAAATTCCTTCTTTTTTATGCTAAACTTTAAACTAATTGAGTAGAATGATGGAGGATAATTTGACAAAGTTCGGGTGTGTTTGGTTGGGAGTAATCTCCTATTACTGAGGTAATATCATCTTGTATTACTTGATCACCACATTTAGTTGTCAAATAATATAAGATTTTAGTAATTTTCTAAAATCAATAATAATTACTATTGATTATAATGTAATTTAAAGTTGTTTAGAATTGATTTGCAAAGATTAAGATTCTCAGTAATAGTTATTAGATAACAATTAGAATTGATTCTTTTATATACTTCTGAAATAATAATAATGGAGGGAACAAGAATGAAACATGTGAAATATCAAATTGCTATTTTAGATCTTATCACAATCTTGGTGGCCAAGAAATTTTTAGTGGAGTAGCTATTAACTTGGTGAGAAATACTTAGTGAAGTTGCAATTATTTTATTTGGTCATAAATAATTATATTATATTAAATGTTTTCACTATCAATACGATGAATGATGTCGTTTCATTTAATCAATGAAAAATTGAAATATTTAACGAAATTTTAAGTGACAAGAGAATAATATAATGCTATTATTGGAGCTTTCTCAAATTATCCTCCATCATTCTGTTCAATTAGTTTAAAGTCTAACATAAAAAGGAGGAATTTTTCATATCTAGGACCACTGTTTTAAAAGCCGGACTGGACCGGACCGGCCGGTCCAATCGGTTGGACCGTGAACCGGTCATGTGTCCAGTTCGAGTCACACTCAAACCCGCTAATATACATTAAGCCGCTTTAAACCGGTTGAAAACCGGATAATGTGAGTGAACCGATGGTCCAACCGGACCGGTGGAAAAACCGGTCCACAATTTAAATCCCTAATACGCGACAATCTTCTTCCCTTTCACACAGCCCTTTCTCATCTTCTTCTCTGTCACGCAGCCCTTTCTCATCTTCTTCTCTTTCAGTCTTTCTCAGCTTTTCTGACGAAAATTTCTCAACAAACACTCTGATCTCTGCGAAAATTCTCACGGTTTCGGCTCTGTCTTCTGTTCTCTCTGAAATCCCACTCTTCTATTTACTAACTCTTCATAAATATTAGTCAAAAGGGGCTAAGAAAAAGGTATCTAAAGAACTATAGCCTGCAACTGCCTCCAGTTGTTTGTTTGTTTGCCGCTGAGAGGAGAAGCTTCAGCTAGCTTGAGTGATTATCGTTTAAACTGCCCAGCACTGTGAGGTACATATGATTTTTTCCTTTCTTTTTCTGTCTGTAGTCTGTAGTGATCTTATGCTTTGGTTGTTTGATTTGATCTCTTTGTTTGATCGGTAAGATCTCCTGGTTTTAGAGTAAAAAAGGGTTTTGAAATCGAATCCCACTTGGGATTTGGCGTTGAAACTGATGATGAGTAATGTTTTTGAATCTNGACAATTATACCAGACAATGGATGGTAATTGAGTTGTCGTAGAGATTGGAATGTGAAGTTGATTCTGTAATAATGTCGCACTGATGTCTTCTATGGTGTTGTTGCTTGCAAATGATTCTTTTCCCTTTCCCAATATTTCTTCCTTTTTTTTTTTTTTCTTTTTTTTTTCCCATCTAGCTGTAGTTTTGCCCTTTGATAGCAATTCAAGTTAAATTGGTTTGTATTGAAGTAGTCAGCAATGTTAATCTTTGTTATCGTTGTTCATTAATTTGAGTGATTTACATGTTGTATTTCTTATTTGTCCATCAGTGGTTGAAACTAAAGATGGAACCATTGCTGTGGCTTCTTCTTTTCCTGGTCATCCTGAAGGTAAGCCAAACTTGTGCCTTGTCTGATAAAGAAAAAAAAAGTAATATCCGAAGCCTCTTCTCATGCTTTCTATAATTGCCATGGTTTGGTGTCTTAGAGTTTTTATCCTCACTGTTAAACTGTTCCTGTTAGTATTCACTAGTCTGCATCATAGTTTCTCAATTGGGTATTTTTAGAACATGACAGTCCATTCGATATGTATACCTGTTTTCTACTGCTCATTTAATTTGATCATGGATGGTTCTCATCATTATCAAAGTATGAACTTTGTGCTTAGTGGAATCGAAGATGTGAGACTTTCTTGTGTAAGTCTACTTGATGTAAGTATGCTATGTCATGGATTCATTTTTGTTCATCATTCAACCAGCTGTACAGGATAGAGATCACAAATTCTTAAGACGAGCAGTTGAAGAAGCATATAAAGGGGTTGAATGTGGAGACGGAGGTCCATTTGGTGCAGTTGTTTGTAATGAGGAAGTAGTTGTGAGCTGTCACAACATGGTTTTGAAGAACACTGACCCTACTGCACATGCAGAGGTTACAGCTATTAGAGAGGTTAGGCTAAAAAAATCTTCATATTCTGTGTCTGATTTGTCTAATTGCACTGAACTGAAAGAAATATTGTTGGAACTGAAAATTAATGAACTTTTGGCGGAACCGTTATGTCATTAGATAAAAAAATTTGGATTTGCTTTCTGTATGTGGACCACGATTTGCTAAACTCATTTGCATATTTCTGGCTATCAGCGTGGTTCTGGTCTCTCCCAATGCTTGGAATTGCAATTATATAAAACACACACTCAACAAATGTTGAGTTATATTTTCTGGGTTTAATATGCTGGTGCAGACATCTTGATATGTATTGTTTTGACTTCAAACTTGCATTTACACTGAATATATCGTCTTTTTCCACCTTATGCACTTGGTTCTAATTCTTGGTTGGATCTCTCTCTCTTTCTCAGGCATGCAAAAAGGTCAATCAAATTGGGCTTTTCTGAGTGTGAAATATATAGCTCCTGTGAGCCTTGTCCAATGTGCTTTGGTGCCATTCACCTGTCAAGGATTAAGGTTCAATTATCAAATAATCCCTTTTCATTTCTTTGATCCTAAAAGTTGCACCTTATATTGAATAAAATTTTGATTCTCTTTCTATTTTTTACTTAAAGAGATTGGTTTATGGAGCCAAGGCTGAAGCTGCTATAGCAATTGGTTTTGATGATTTCATTTCTGATGCTTTGAGAGGTACTGGGTTTTATCAGAAGGCTAACTTGGAGATCAAAAAAGCCGATGGTACTGATGCTGAAATTGCAGAACAAGTATTTGAGAAGACAAGGGCCAAATTTCCAATGTATTAGCTGCTTCATTTTCCCTTAAACTCAGAAAAATGTATCAAATAAACGACTTTCAATGACTTGTGACAACTAGAATCACAAATCAATTGTAGTTATGGCTAATCCAATTTAAAAATCAAGTGGCTGTTTGGTCACGTTTTCATTCCTTTTGTTTGTGTTGGCATGCTCATAATTTTCTTAAACTTGATGGCATTCAATATTTTGTTGCTTACCAACACAGATCAACTGATGTAACAAAGTGGCCAGGTCCTGGGTGTGTCTAAAAGTTTGAAATATAACAAAAACATCCCTAAAAATTAAATAAGTCCTTACAAGTTTAAAATCTTGCAAAAACACCTCAAACACCATCGTCAACGTCGACAAACCGAGGCAAATAGGGCTTGTTTCCGATGATGACAACACTTCGCATCACTAAGAAAACACTCCCCTCAGCCTCTAGACCAAAACCCATATCACCTCCTCCGATTGCCTCAGTTATTGCCGATTTAGTTTTGTGATTTCCAGTCGATTCACTCACCAGAAATCACCTCCGCTGTTATCATTGCACTCACCGACCCTTCCTCTTCAAAAATCTCAACATCCCGGTCTTTAATTGTTTGCCGATCACCATCCCAATTTCTAGGATTTTCAATTAATAAGAAAATTGCTAACTTGACCCGCTGAACGCCCCAGGCCCTGGTTAAACTGGTTCAGCCAGCCGGGCTGGACCGGGTTTTAAAACATTGTTTGAGACTATGCCATTATTTGGGTTGAAGATTTATAACAGGTTTAACTGAAGTATTTGAATAATCATAATATCCAGGTTTTGACAGTTCACAATATAATTTTGAATATTCATATTGGATGGTCCGTGAGGCCTTAACTGTTCTTAAAGTTCGTTTTTCCCACTTCATATAATTGTACTTACATCTTCCAGAACAATAAATTTAGCAAAACTGTAGCATAATTGAAACTGCAACTACTAATTGTCTATTTATCATGTATCAAATAATATATTCAAAATAGCAGATCATTTATAGTACATCTGATTGAATGTAATATAAAATCAACAAAACAAAACAAAACTTGTCCATTTGAAGACAACAATCAATTACACATTGTCCCCTTCCCCACCTGCTTTTCTGAGATTATAACAGTACACAAGGGAGGTTGATGGGAGATGGAAAGAGAAAAAAAAACACAAACTAAATAGACAGATAAATTTAAGCTCTATATTTTATTACCAGCATTTGACAACTACAAATGTAAACTACACTTTCAAACCTCTAATTGCAAAACTTAGCCAACTTCCTTCACAGAATATAAAACGGATGGTGCTGATCCCCGGTGCATGTATAAAACAAGAACTAGACTTTCATCTTCTCTTCGGATTTTTCCATTTGGGCTCGTGTGTTGGTGATAAAAAATTGTAAACCAACGGCAGAAGCATAAAATGATTAAGACATTTTAACTTGAATTTGCCGATGGATATTTATTAGAAATTCAACATATGATTGCCCGCCAGTAGGAATCTTGTCTTCGACCAAATACGAAAAGAACAGCATCCCTGGGGAAAAATTATGAACTACTTCAATTAAATAAATCAAAACCACAATATGATCCCAAAGAGGAAATAAGGAAACTACAACTGATTGTTGATCCCAAAAAAGAAAAAAAAAAAAACTCATAAGAATTATAGGATTACAGAATCAAATTACATGACCAATATGGACAACGAGATGTGATGCTTTAGTTTCAATAAAATCTATTGTCATTTCCTAGGAGTGTCAAACCTTAGCTGCAGGTAGGGCTTAAATATGTACCCTAATTACATTTATCAAAATGAACTGATGTGAAAAGGTTAGATAAACTCCTTTAATGCATTATAGAAACATAAGAATTGACATCTAATGAGCTGAACTCATGGGAATCCAATCATCAGATATCGAATCACTTATTGGACACTGTTAAGTTTTTTGGCTAGCTACTGGCCAACACAAGATTTGATCAATTTTGGTTCTGAAAAGGAAAAAAAAAAGAAAATGAACAGATATGTGAAGAGGATATATCTGATGGCTACAGAGAAGAGGGGTAACAGTATTTCTATAATGGAGAGAGACATTTTCTTAACACTAGCAATTAAATGGCAAAACAGAAAAGGGCTGTTCTAATTCACTGACCTGATTGATCTCCTTTCTTGCACAACTTTAAGCTGCAAGAAGATAAAACAAGAAAAATTACAAACTATTGCATTGAACTGAGACTTAGTTACATAAAGTATCATTTAAAATTTCAAAGATTTTTTTTTTTTTTTTTAATTTCTTCAAATAAAAAAAAAAAAATTAAGTCATTCATACCGTAGGTAAGAGCATCTTTGGCTCCTTATCTCATTTATCACTTCATTTAGCTTCTTTGATAACGGATTATCGAACTGTTGAAGCACAAACTGTACACACAAATTATTAGCAAAGAATGACAAGTTGCATAATGAGAATGATAACCAGTATATGGTTAGGGCAAGGGGGAAAAGGACAATAACAAAAAACAAATAAATAAAAATAAAAAGACACTCCATTCCAGTAGAGGAGAACTATATCTGAGCACCAGGCAACTATTGGCACTGTAGTCTAATTACAAATGGCTTCAAATAAAATTCATCCCCTTTTGAGAAAATTTGCTCCTTTTTTGATATGGCACACTATCAAATTACACACCTTTGTAATGTAGGCTTTACCTTTAAATTCAGTTTCCCTGAATAGAACCACTAAAAGGTTTCTAAACCAAATAATTGCTGCAGTCTCCTAATGGACCTATACTCCACCAGATACTAAACTGAATTAAGTCTGAAGGACAAAGTCTGGTGCTCAGAGGCTTATTTCCAAGAAATGGCCACAACTTACAACAAACTGATAACAGCAAATAGAGAAAGGCAAGGATTTTATATTCTGCAAGGATTAAGATGGAATTACCTGAGTTGGAATTTCTTCAACTGAATTAATGCCAAGCAGCTGGCGCAAGATATTTGAATCCACTGAGCTCCCAATATATATTAGAGCATCCTCACCATTCTCAAGAAGATAAATTCCCTCATCACTAACATGTTCGCTAGAAAGAGGTAGAAAGGGAGGAATAGGAGATCCACCTTCCACCTGTCAATTAAAAGAAAGTTATATAACAGTTTAGAAGCATATTTTAAACACTATCAAACATAAAGTACGCTTGACATAAACAATACCTTTGAATCAAGGTCATGGATAGCCACCATCCTTGGGTACACAAATGGAACCGCCAAAGGAATAGAAACAGAGGAAACATATGTTATCCAAAATGACCGATCATCTATTCTCCCATCATTTCTCAGTCCTGCACTTTTAATTAATGCTGAAGAAAAACAAATGAAAGAAACTTGTCAATCCATGTCCATCCTTCAATATTTAATCTTAACAAAAATGGCTAATAAAAATACACTATACAACTTCAAATTCTCCAATGTTAGAGACATGCTGCGTTTAGCCATGAATGGTAGCCATTTCAACATAAAATATAAAAGTAAAAATGAGCATCGGTCTGAAACTCATTCAAGATTTCATATAACTATGATTTATAGGAAAAAGAACGTAAGGTTTGGGAAATTCATTCCACACAATTTATTTACATGTTATGCATCTCCAACCAGCATCAAGGTTTTAAAACCCGACCCGAGGGGTGACCTGTTCAGGCGACTGGGTCACAGGTTAACCGGCGGTTTAACCAATGGTTTGACAAGTTTAAAATATAACAAACACACCCCTGATAAATACCATCAGACCCTATAGGTTTGAAATCTAGCAAACACAACCCCTGGCCAAATGCTAATTGGCGATCAACTGGAAGAGCAGCGGCGACACACCAGGGAGAGTAGATCGGGTGATGGAGAGGACGAATCGGCAACTAGCAAGTTAAGACATCGCCAGAACATGGCAAATCGGTGCTGGAAGTCAAATGGTCGCGATGGCTTTTTTTGGCGAGATGACTATGGATCTTCGTGAACGACAGCAAGGGAGCTTGGGATAAGGTAGATCGGTGGCTAAGGAGGCCTATCGATGTCGAAGAAGGCCGATCGACGCCGGGAAATGGAAGAAAAATTGTTGGACAACGAAACATCGCACGACGGCGGGAGATGAAGCGTCACGGCCCCGGAGAAAGTCAGAAGGTGGTTTCCGACAACAAGGGAAGGTGGAAGGTCGCCGATTTGCATTTGGCCAAAGGGTGTGTTTGCTGGATTTGAAACCTTCAAGGACTGATGCATATTAATCAGGGCTATGTTTGCTAGATTTCAAAATTGAAACGGTTGAAAGGGTAACCCGACCCGGAGAAGGCCCCGGGTTTCGGTTAAACCGACCGGGCCGGTCCGGGTTTTAAAACCATGACCAGCATAATCTTACACGAATTATCATGTTAACTAATTTTGAAGATCCTAGCATACTTAATATTGGTAGATATATTGACAATGATAATCTCCAAGACTTCAATGCTCCTAAGTCCCAATCCCAACTACACTCCCTTCCGAAAAAAGAAAAAATAAAAAAAAAGATACTGACAAAAAAAAAAAAAAAGGAAAATATATTTATTCAAGAATGGATTCTCTAACTTCTGTGAAAAGAAACTAAGAGAAATGTATTAATAATAATTCAAAAAAGAATATAAAGCATGGACCAGCAGATCATATTGAACACAAGAACTCTAAGAGGAGCATCCATCCTACAAAAAGAAAGACTATGGATGGATGTTCGTTACCGTGCCAAGAAAACCTGGCTCACACAAGCATAAGAAAGCATACAAATATATTCTTCAAACCATTTGGTGGACCACATTTACCCTTAGAAAGCATAAAAATATGTACCACATGGAAATTTAAGATGTAAATAAGTGCTTAATGAGTATTGCTGGATACAACATTACTTCATTCATAACTTAAAAACAAATTATAATGCACAGAAAAGTACATACCAAGGGTGTATAAAGGCAAAAGCTTGAGAGCCTCTGGTAGAATAAGTTGTCCAGATGATGATACAGTAGCACAGAACTTACGATACGAAACCAGAGCATTGACACAAAGGTTCATCATCTGTTCCCGGACATTCACTAGTGGGGTGGAAGGAATTTCATTTGCCGCTACAAATAGAGTAGTTAAGAAAAGAAAAAGGATTATAGTGAGTTCCTAACTTCCTATCATATAAAATAATAACAATACGATTTCTACAGCTTCTAGGAAATAAAGAATGACTGCTTGACAAGAGTTAGCGTGAAAATAAAACAAAAGAACAGAGTTGGGAAAAGAGCACGTAATGCTCACATTTAAAAGCTGTCGAATATGAATTAAAAAATAAATATTTTGTAATCATATTCATTATTTGAAAACATTGGACAATAAAAAGAATTGCAGTCACAAACTGGAAAATGTATGTAACAGAATCATACCGGGAAGCTGAAACAAGTTAGCAAAGACAATTAACAAAATAAAATCAAATACCTTGCTTCATGAAACATGTAAATTGAGTATCCAAGTCAGCCGAGCGGTACAGATTACTTAAATTACTGGTGCATGGCAAGGATAAAGTTGTAACTCGAATTCTTCTTTGGCCATACACAGTGGTGTAAAGAAGGGCACACTGAACAATGGAAAAGAAAATGCAATTAAAAATAAGAAAATTCAACTTCTGAACACTAAGAGCCATACAAAAAGCTACTTATACTAACAGACAACGTATTTTTAAAACTAAGACATATTGTAGGGAAATATGTACCTGAAAAGCACATTCTGAGCCATCCTGCAATTTATCATCATGCTTTAAGGTTACCATGATAGCTTTGTTACAGTCAATCTGCACAATAAACAAGATGACTTCCTGGTTAATAAGTCAAGATGAAAATAGCTACCAAAATATGCTTAGCCTCAGTAAAACATAGAAGCAACTGCAATAGGAATGGGAATCAGGAAACAAAATGGAATGATTGAAAGACAATAGTTTGATAGAAATGTACAAACCGCAGGTAGGTCAATGTCTGTCGGAATGCGTTTGCAAAAGTTCCCATAGTAATCTTGAACTTGAATACCCTATAAAAGTTTATTCAAAAATCAACTTAAAAGAATAGAACCATATTCAAAAACAGAAAACCAATTGCCTTATGATAGTAAAGAAGAAGAAAAATTCAAAATCCTAAAAGACTACCTGGCTGCATCTCACACGCATAACTGCCTCAAAGCCTTGGGGCCTCGTGATATTCCATCTAAGATCATTGTAAAGTTTTGCGGGATCAGAAAGAGCCGAGAATGGGTAGTAATAGTAAACCTGGAAGGAAGTAAGAAACATATAAAGTCAACTGAAATAAGTGTTGAGTTGTACAAATCAAATGTTTTAGGAATAAGATCTTTAGAATAGGAAATTAGATCATTCCCTTTCCTAGTTTAGACTATTTCATTTCCTTATATGGACTGTTGAATGTGTATATATTGTTGTATTTTGTTTTTCACATCATATTAAGAAAATTCTTCTGATTTCACATGGTATCAGAGCTAAGAAATTAGAAACCCTAGAAAAATTTCTTTTCTTTTTCAACGTTTTTTTTTTTTTTTTTTTGGGGGGGGGTGGGGGGATGTCTCCTTCTGGTGTTGAATCGCTCTTCTAACCACACCAACCTATTCGTCTTCTCCTCGCTGGCAAATCTGAAAATTTCATTGCCAGTCGCTGCAGCATGCGCCGATCTTCTTTTCGATAGCTTCTTCTCCAATCTCCTTCTCCGGTGAGCGTGAGGTCTCACCGTCGGCACCTATGCACTCAGACACTGCCGACTAGCACAGCCACCACTGTCTGACCTGCATTGTCATCACCGATGCCGAGAATAGCCCATTACCGCCGGAATATCCACTTTTTTTTCCGATCTGCCCAAAATCAGTTTTGTTTTTTAGCCCAGATCAGTACAATCTCTCCCACAAGACAATCATGCTCCCTGAAGGATCCAACACCAAATCAGGTTTTCTTTCTTTTTTGTCTTTTCCTCCGATCATAACTAAAAAATTAATAGGCAGCTCCAATTATTCCTCATGGGTTGCCTCTGTTGAACTGTGGTGTATGGGACATGGTCTGGAGGATCAGTTAACTACTAAGGCTGAAGATGTCATGGATTATAAAACTACTTGGGTAAAGACAGATGCTTTGGTATGTCGTTTATTATGGCAGTCTATTGGCCCTCACCTTCATTCTACTTATAAAATATATCGAACCTGTTTTGATGTATGGCGACACGCCAAATTGCTTTATACTAATGATATCTAGAGACTATTCTGTTGTGTCCAATTTGGTTAATCTCAAACAGCAAGATATGGGCATGTTTGACTTTCTTGGCATGATGGCCTCTATCAAGGCAGAATTTAATTTGTTATTACCTACTGGCAAATCTGAAGCAGAAGATCTGGCACAACGAGACAAATTCTTTATGGTTCTTACACTTGCCGCTATCAGTCCTGCTCTCACTCCAGTACGAGATCAGATTCTGGCAAGTGCTACTGTGCCTTCTCTTGATGAAGTTTTTACTTGTTTACTTCCAAGTCTCCTCCCCTGGTGTTATGGTTGGATCTTCCATAGTTGATTCTTCTGTCCTGGCCTCTCAGTCTCAAACTTTTGTTAAAGGAGAACAAGGGGATCGTAGTGGCAGGGGAGGTCGATCCAAGTGTAGTTATTATCATAGGTAGGGACATATCCAAGAGAAATGCTATAAATTACATGGGCATCCTCCTCGGGTTGCCAATGTCGCTTATCCTGATCATCATTTTGAATCTTCTGAAGAACCAAGTCCGCCATCCTTGACTCTTACAGGTGCTGATTATGACGAATATCTCAAGTTCCAGGCAAATAAACAGTCTTCTTCATTTGTTGCTTCCATCGCTCAGTCGGGTAAATCAGTTGCATGCCTCACTCAGTCGTCTCCTCCAGGGTCTTGGGTTCTTGATTCTGGTGCATCGGATCATATCTCTAGTAAACCCCGTTTGCTTTCTCATCTTATTAATACTACCTCTTTGTCTCCTGTTACCTTAGCCAATGGGATCAAAGCAGTTGTTAAAGCAGTAGGTCGGGCACAACCACTCTCCTCCGTGACTTTAGATTCTGTCTTGCATATTCCCCATTGCCCTTTTAACCTTCTATCTGTCAGTAAACTCACCCACTCTTTAAATTGTTCTATCACTTTTACTAATGATTATGTTGTTATACAGGACTGCAGCACGGGACGAATGGTTGTCGCAGGACATGAGTCACAAGGCCTCTATCATCTCAAGTTACCTTCTGCCCCCATTGCCTGCACTGTCTCCGAGTCTCCTCTTCTCCTTCATAATCGTTTGGGTCATCCTAGTTTAGCAAAGCTTCAAAAGATGGTTCCAGGGCTCTCGACTCTATCGTCTTTAAATTGTGAGTCCTGTCAACTTGAAAAAACATACTCGTAGTACGTTTCCAAAGCGTGTCAATAAATGGGCTACGTCCCCTTTTGAGTTAGTTCATTTCGATGTCTGGGGTCCTTGTCGAGTCTCATCCATTTTAGGGTTTCAATATTTTGTTACGTTTATTGACGATTATTTTCGTTGCACTTGGTTATTTTTAATGAAAAGTCGTCCCGAATTACTTTCTATCTTTGAATCCTTTTGTGTTGAAATTAAAGACACAATTTAATACTGTTATTCGTGTGTTTCGGAGTCATAGTGCTCATGAATATTTTTCTGCTCCCTTTACCAAATTCATGTCATCTCAGGGAATTCTCCATCAATCCTTGTGTTTAGACTCCACAACAATGCTCAAACCCTGCTTTTACACAATCAAGTTCCCTTCCGGTTTTGGGCAGACGCTGTGTTAACTGCCTGTTTCTTGATTAATAGGATGCCTTTTCTGTCCTACAAAACCAGGTCCCTCATTTTTTTTTTGTTCCCTGATCAACCGTTACACTCTCTTCCTCCACGTATCTTTGGTTCCACATGTTTTGTCCATATCCTTTCCCCAGGTACCAACAAACTGTCTGTCAAATCTATCAAGTGTATTTTCCTAGGATACTCAAGACTTCAAAAAGGTTATAAATGTTATTCTCCATCCACTCGTCAATACTTTCTATCCGCTGATGTTACCTTTTTTGAGTCTTCTCCTTTCTTTTCTACATCAAACAGTGATTCTATCACCACTGTCCTTCCTATACCCTACATTGAGTCTACTTATTATCATCCTGCAGAGTCTGTTACTATTCCTCCAAGTCCTACCCCTATGGGCGAGTCTCCTCCTCTAGGTGATGCTATTGTTCCGAGTACGACTACTGACTATTCTTGATGATGTTCTTAAGGCTCTTTTTCCTGATCCTCCTACATCAGATTCCTCTCTTGATGTGGCTCTACCTCCTAAAGACCAATTTCCCGTTGCAATTGGTAAAGGTATGCGGTCCACTCGCAACCCTCATCCGATCTACAATTTTCTTAGTTATCACCGCTTATCTCCATCATATTATGCTTTTGTGTCAACCATTTCTTGTCTCTGTTCCTTCTAATGTTCGTGAGGCACTGATTGATCATAATAATACTTGGGAATTAGTTCCTCTGCCTCCCGGCCAATCGCCTGTTGGTTGTCGTTGGATTTATACTGTCAAGGTTGGCCTAGATGGTCAGGTTGATCGACTGAAGGCATGGTTGGTTGCAAAAGGGTATACTCAGACTTATGGATTGGATTATTATGAGACCTTTTCTCCTATGGCTAAGATGTCTTCTGTCCGCTTGTTTTTATCCATGGCTGCTCTCCGCCACTGGCCTCTATACCAATTAGACATTAAGAATGCATTTCTTCATGGTGAGCTTCAAGAAGAAATTTATATGGAGCAACCGCCTAGCTTTGTTGCTTAGGGGGAGTCTGCCTTGGTATGTAAACTTCGTCGCTCTCTGTATGGTTTAAAAAAGTCCCCTCGTGCCTGGTTTAGACGATTCAGTAATGTCATTCAAGAGTTTGGGATGATTCAATGTGAGTCTGATCACTCTGTTTTCTATAAAAATAACTCATCAGGGCAATGCATATATCTGGTTGTCTATGTCGATGATATTGTTATTACGGGAAGTGACCAGGATGGCACTAAACAGTTGAAGACACTTGTTCCACCACTTTCAGACCAAAGATTTGGGATTACTTAGATACTTCCTTGGTATCGAAGTGGCTCAATCTAGCTCAAGTATTGTTATTTCTCAAACGAAATATGCACTGGATATTTTGGAAGAAACAGGGATGTCTGACTATAGACCGATAGACTCTCCTATGGATCCTAATTCAAAGCTCTCACCTGGACAGGGGGAGCCTCTTGCAGATGCTGGGAAATATCGAAGACTGATTAGTAAACTTAACTATCTCACCATTATACAGCCTGATATTTCCTTCTCCGTCAGTGTTGTTAGTCAGTTTCTACAGTCTCCTTGTGACAGTCATTGGGATGCAGTTTCTACAATTCTCAAGATTTTTTTTTTTTTTTTTTTTATCTATCTAGAGAATTGACATTTGGAGTTAATTTTTTATCTAAATTCATCCTTTTTTGTTGGAAGCTAAACATATCATTTATGATCTATATTTGCTGGAAATTGTAATGCTGGAGCTGTAGTTTATTTTATTCTAATTGTAACGTGCAGCAAAGTTTTACCAATATAATTGCTCCCTGTTGGTTGATAAGACAACCTTTTTTTTTTCTTTTTACATCACTGAAATGGAAATCTTTTGTAAATCATAGAAAAATTGGAAAACCATGTGAGGCACTGTACTTTTTACATAACATTTCCATCTTTTTACTTCCTAAAGTTCTTAATTTATTATCTGAATTTGTTACTGAATCTTTATGTTCTCCACACATTTTTGATGATAAACAAATCCCATTAAGAAACCAATGGAAAGGGGGATATAAAAATTGTGAACCAGCTGTTCGCTGGACCTGGAATGGACAGTCAAAAGGCAGACTGTCTCCAAAAATTCTAACCCATCGAGAATAATAGCCTCTCCACACATACTTGAAATCATAACCACTGATATTAAACCTTGAGCAATGGATCAATCTGTTTAATATCAGTTTATCAATCTTATAACAAGAATAGCGTCTACTGAATCTAGGAAATACAATTATACAGGGTTCTATCAACCCCTGTTGTATGAATTTGCTTCTGTTATCTCTAGTTCCTTCAGTCGGAGGGCTTTCTAGTGCAAAATATTGGGTCTCTTTTCTCATGTCTTTTCTCTTTGAAAATTTCAGTGATCATGTGGATGTTGTTTTTGCTTTATCATATGTTATTGTTTCAGATTTGTAAAGTAGGAGATAAATATGAATCTCCAAATTCTGCCAAGTTAGATATTTATTTCAAACATTGGCACATGATAATTATCTTCAAATAAAGTTTATCTCCTCAATGATTCATACTTTGTAAAAAAAAATGCATCTTTTACTTTTGAAGTTTGAATCAGCTAATAAGTTTGGTGGTAGATTCCAGAAGAACAAGCTTGGGACAATTAAATGTTGAAAAGCTCAGCAGGCCAAAGATAGTATGAAAAGAGAAACCAAAGTAATTCTAAGGTATCAACATTTACACTAAACTTGCACTATTTACTTAATATATATAAGATACCATAGATTTACTATGCACATGAGAATAAGTAATGACACAAAACAACAGGATAATAATAAATAAAAATATAAAAAAAACAATAATGAATTTTCTAAACCACAACCTTGAAGCAAGCACACAAAAACAACGAGGAAAATACTACAAACATCGATAATTTTTATATCCCAAGTTTGCAGCATATTGCACAAATAACAAAAACAAGGGGCTATGACCAAGTTTAATCATCAAATAAAATAACATTATTGCATATTTATTTATCTACTCAAGCTAGCTTATTTAACTTGATAAAATGAATTCGAATTTAAAAAATAAAATAAGACAGCTTAAGCATATACAGAAATATGTAATACTGTTACTTCAATTGATGACCAAATATGCTAATAAGCCCAGTGTTTTGGGTTGTCTGTGCAGTATGATACAATCAGTTTGAATTTCAAAAATCATCTAATCACAAATACAAACTAGTGAAAGCTCAATTGGACATTGTAATTTTTGTTGGTCCAAGATAAGACAATTGGTTTTAGTGTAGTTTTTCCCAACTAAAAATTATGACACTTATCTAACTTATAAACACACATAAATTTCAAAGAAGAGAATGAGCCAAATTTTTATAATATACAACAACTTCTGCAATAAACATTTGAAAGACAAATGATTTCAATAGATTCTGACCTTGTACACTGGATACACCGAGTCATGACAGTCTTCACCAAGGGTCCCAGATTCTTATCAACTACAGACCTTTTCATTTCAGTGAACCGGCCGCGATCAGATCCAAAGGCCATAGACTGATCTTGGAGATCACATTCTCCACCCTGGTCACAAATTGGACAATCCAAAGGATGATTCATCAACAAAAATTCCATCACCCCTTCCCGTGCCTTCTTAGCGACGGGTGTGTCCGTCTTAATTTTCATCCCTAAAACCCATAACACACAAATAAATAAAACCCACATATGAACAGAAACATAAAGATAAGGATATTAAACCCATATTAAAAACTAAAACTCTTTAAGATCAAACCAACACACATATTCAACAACACCATCGTTTCAAAAACAATAACTTCAAAACACCAATTAATTAAAAAAACCAACCAAACTCAAATGATAAATCATAAAAGCCAGAAATGGAACAGCATACATAAAAAAATAATTTATTGATCGACTGTGATGACAAATTATAACCCATATCCTGATCCTAACATATAAATAAACTTAATTACATATAATCATATATTAGAGGAACTTAAATAAGAAAAGATAAAACATAAATTATAAAGCAATATGAAAAGAACCAAAATCGAACCGGGAAGAGCAGGCATGGCGCAAGAAGCAACAGGCTTGGGCGATTTCTCGACCTCAACGAGACACATGCGGCAATTTCCAGCAATCGATAGTCTACTGTGGTAACAAAATCTGGGAATATCGACGCCGGCGACTTCACAAGCTTGTAAAACAGTGAAGCCCTTGGGGATTTTGACCGGAAACCCATCAACGAACACCTCGATCGCATCTTCAGGATTGGGGAAGTGAATCCGAGCCCCGCCAACGGGGGTTCGCGGCGGGAGATCGGGTTGGGCAGGTGCTTCGGCCGCCGCAGATTCCGGTGACTGGAGTTCAGGTTTAGTGACAATATAGCGCGCACACATTCTGAAATTGGAAGATTTGAGGGGTCTCATTGCCCTTGAAGCCAACAGCCCTAACCCCATTTTTGTTTCGTCTAGCTCGCTCAGTTGTTTTCAGTCGAAGGAGTGAAATGTAAAGGAGTGTGGAGTTTCTGTTGCCAATTGCTAAAATTGTTTTTAAGTTTAGCCGACCTCTTTTTTTTTTTTTGTGGGCTTCAACTTATAGTGGACTTGGCTATTCTTGTTTTGTTAAGTAGGCCCAATAAGGGTTTATTTAATGGGTTATTAATTAGTTTAGCCAAATATTGGGGCGTTATATTACTTATATAATTAACCACTTTTTCCCATCCTATACCTTTATAACCAACTTATTCATTTAAATACCAAACTACCCTTGTCACTAACCTCCCAACACTAGGAGGAAAAAAAAAAAAACGTATTTCCCCCTAGTGTGATTTCTAGGGGTGTTCAAAAGAACCGGTTGGAACTGGAACCGACGGATACCCTGGGTTTAGTTTCGGTTCCTACCCAGAACCAATCGTCAATGGGTAGGTTTCGGTTTCAAATTTTTGGAACCATTATTGTGCAGTTCTGATTCCGGTTCCAAAAAAACCAGAACCGAAACCGGAACCAGGAACTGAGACTAATATAAAATAAAATTAAAGATTAGGGGGGTTAATAAAAACTTTTGTAGAAAAAATAATGTGAATACATTTATATTTATATTTCATAACATTTAAAATAAGTTGGTTTGACTTTTGAGAATCTACCTTTATAAAGTAATAGAGTTTGGAATTTGTAATTTATAATTTGTAATTTTATTTTTGTTAACAAGTGCCAAGTGGGGGGGGGGGGCGGCGGGAGGGGGGTTTGTTGGTATTTGTATGTTTTAAGGGTTTTTTTACCATTTTTAAAACTTTTGGGGGGTCATGTAATTTTACAGGGTACCCAGAACCAGAACTGAAACCATTGTTATAGGTTCTAGTTCTGAGTACCTAGTAACCTGAACCGTCGGTTCCGGTTCTAGTTCCAAATTTCAGGAAACCGTCGGTTCCAATTCCGGTTCCGGTTCCTTCAAAAAGTGTAGGGTATCCAGAACCGAACACCCCTATTGATTTCCCTAGGTTAGTGTAATTTTTCCTTCGGTTAGCATGAAGAATCACCGCAAACTAGGATAATCACGTGAAGTGTCACAAAAGCAAATCTAATCCAAATCAATCTAACACTCAACACTTCTAAATAGAATCAATCACAACAACACCCACAACATCCATAAAAATAAGAACAAACACATTAACGAGATTCACCAAAGTTATAAAGCTTTTAATTCTTAATCCTAAACTCTTAACATTTATCTTAAATCATAACAATTTAAACTAGCGAATTCGGTTCATTCTCCCCTACAAAGAATTGGCCGAAAGTCATAATGTTGCAAGCAAAATGGTCACTTTAATCAATCTTTACCGTGATTAATGTTTGATAAGTGATTGGATTTTGAAAATCCAAAACTCCAAAGAAATTTTTTGAAAACACCGTTGACTAGGGTTTATAGGGGGCTTTTTGACATTTTGGGTTTATGATATTTCCGTGGGACATTTGTAATTTTAGGGAGGTACCAATACTTTCCGAAACTCGTTGCAGCCCTTAAGACGTAGCTATCTTTGACTCTTTGGGGCGAATTAAATAAAAAAAAAAAAATTTAAGAAAATTTTAAAAGTAATCTTTTAAAGGCAACTTTTTTTATTTTTATTTAAAAAATGATGCAAGTTTCGTTAGTGTGTATTAAGTTGCTTGTGTTTATAAAGTTGTAGGATATGGCATTGCAAATGTTTCGTAAATCATGAAGGTCAAAGATTTTAGTAGTTGATTATTGAGAGTTTTAAGTACTAAGGCTTCAAATTGTATTTTAAATTATTATAATTGATTTATGATTTGTTTAAGAGGGATGACAGCTTTAAAAAGTTGTGTTGTGTGTGATTTTTCCACCATGCTCGGGGAGTTGCAAGGTAGTAGCTCGACCAGAATCAGTTCAACTCTACCGGTTGTCTGACCCAGCATAAGCTCGTCGAGATATAGCTCAACTCAGCACAAGCTAATCGCGAACAACCCGAATGATCATTCAATCCATTCCTAGATAACTTCAGACCCTAGATATTACGGGAATGATCAAATTGACAGCCATTCTTGCGTAATCATAGCGCCCAATCACGAGAATATCGGAGTTACATTTCAATCTAATTGTAATCCCTTTAATTTCGCTCTTGCTTGTACAAACTTTGTATATAAATCCCTCAAATGATGTAAAAGGGGTTAGGAAATTCTAATAGAATTTAGACTATAAGCTCTCATAGCAAATACAAAGAACAGTGGACGTAGGCTTAAGAGTTCATCTCGTCGAACCACTTTAAAAATCTCTGTGTCATCTTCTTCTTTACATCCATTATTTGTTCATTGTTGATTATCTGTAATCACGCACATACTAGTTCCGATCCCACCAAGGTCAATCAGATCACTCTAGTTGGTATAGATTTCTGTATCAACAAGTTTAAGGTTCATTCATAAGATCGGAAGTTGGGGGGTGTGTGTGGATCGGTTTGGTTCTTTTCAAACCCAAATTGAACTGGGTTTGAATCACAATTTAACATTTGAATATAATAACAATATAGATTCATGTAGAAGGAAAAGAAAATCACAAAATCATTTTAAGTCCAATAACCAAATATTCACAGCCAAGGTTTTCACAGTCCAAACATAAGTTTAAAACCTACAAATAACAAAGAAATCCTTACAAACTTAATAAATAAATGGATTTTGGACTTAAATAAATCTTCACCTTACAAAGAATTTTTACAGTTATCTCTCCAGATTTTCTCTTGCTACCCTTTTTCACCTTTTTGGGGAGATTTTTATCTACTTTAACATTCATAAATCCCTTAGGTAGTTTTTCCAAGACAGTATACGTCTTTTAATGCTCAAAATTAAAGTCAAAAGGCAAAATCCTGCAAGGAAAATAATACAGCCACCGACAGTAGTGCACCGAATGACGTGGCAAAATCCTGACCGTTGATTAATTTTAACTAAATATTAATCAACGATCAATATTTTGCCACATCATTCGGTGCACAAATTCGGTGTACTACCGTCGGTGGCTGTAGCATTACTCATCCTACAAACCCAACAAATTTCTCATATGCTGTTTGACACAATTTACGTGACCAATAGTGCACCTCTTTATTCATAATTCATTTTGCTATATTTTTTTTGTTAATTTTTTAGAAATACAAAAAAGGCCACCAAGTCACCGTAGTTATATGTTATGATATTATATTATTTGGCAAAATATTTATCTCTCAATCATCAATTTTATGGAGTCTTGAACTTTTGACCAATGTTTTAAAACCCAAGCTGGGGTGAAACTCGGCAAAGCTTCTGGGTCCCGAGTTGACTGGTTTAACCGGTTTGACCAGATAAAAACTTTTAAAATTCAGCAAATATACCCTTAAAAATTACAGTTAAGTCCCTATAAGTTTGAAATTTATCAAACACACCCCAACTGCAAATCGATCGGCGACTGATTAGTGGTAGCGACACCCCAGATGCAACCCCAATCGTCCCTTGAGCCAATTTCCATCAAAATATACCCAAGATCTGGCCGAAATAGGTTCGATTTCGGCCAGATCTCGTCGATGTCGGCATTCCAGGCCAGATCCCATCGATTCCGGCAACAACAACCCTCCCCATCACCCTAGAATTACTCCCCTTTTCCTCCTGACCAAAATCCACCTCACCCCACCCCTATTAGCCTCGTCAATCGCCAAAAAAATCTCATCATTGCCGCTGCCAGTTTTGTTCGATTTTCGGTCGATTTACTCACTGGAAATCAACTCTTTCACCACCATTACATTCACCGGAAATTGCTCTTCAAAAGCCCCAACATTCCGATAGTTAATTGTTTGTCGATCATCACCGGAAATCCTAGGGTATTGGGTGAATGTGAAAAAATTAAACCCGGCCCGTTGAAGCTTCCGGGTCCCGGTAGGATCGGCCTAGCCGGGTTTTAAAACATTGCTTTTGACATTGAGTATTTGTAAAACTATAGCATAAAAATGTGATACATCAATTACATTGTCATTTAAACACTATCATCGAAAATTATATTAAGTATGATATAAAGTTGATATAATATTATATTTATATGTTATGTTATTGTGTATAAATCTCAATATGTTAACAAAATACCATTGGAAAATTACTTAATATGTTTATTTTTTTTATTATTTAAATTTCGGTTATGCCATTTTTTTTAATTATTAAAATTATAGTTAACTAATTGTATTATAAATGTGTTAATTTTGTTATAATAAATTGATTAATCTTTTCATAAACGGTTAATCGTGTCATAAAAGTGTTAGCGTGTCATAAACGGGTTTGCGGATTGAAAACCCTCAGCCCTAACCCAACCCATTTAATAAACGTGTTAAGTTTTAGAATTCGAACAAAACCCAAATATTATTCATGTGAGGTTGACATTTCAACACCCGTTTTGCTAGCCCTAAACATGGTACTCTATGTTATAAGTTACATGGTAAATGAAAATCAACCAGGCAATAGCCAATGTATTTTTTACATACCATGAGTTAAAGATTTGGGACACATGCATGTGAGACTTACCGTTTTGTGTGCATTTTCATCAAAATACTAAATTAAAGATTCTTTATTAGAGGTGAAACAAATGGGCCGGGTTAGGCGGGTCAACCCTAACCCAACCCACATTCAAGAGGATTCAACCCGGACCGCCAAGAAGGCGGGTCGAGTTGAACCCAACCTGCCAGCAACCACCAGGCAGGCCGAGTTGAGAAATGGCAACCCGGTGACCTGTGGGTTGCTATTTTGTCCTTTCTAGAGAAAGGACCGCCAACCCATCGGGTTGACCCGTGGGGTTGGCCCAAAAACAAATAAATTTTTTTTTCCAATTACCCTTTTACCCTTGAAATATAGCCGTTTTATAGCCGTTGGAGGGGTCTTTTTCATCATTTTCTTTTCTCTTTTTTTTTTTTCTCTATAAATTAGCCTTAAACTCTCATCTTTTCTCACCACTCAAATTCTCTCATTCTCTCATTTTCTCTAATCTCTAATCTCTCAAATCTCAATTATTCATTTATTCTC